GTCAAAGGGGGCGCAGGGGGCAGGTCGCTGGCGCGCGTCGACGCGGAGGGCCCAAGGTTGGACACCGTGGCCCGTCAAAGGGCGAGGGGTGAAGGGATGCCCCCAGCGCCCGGCCTGGGCGCGCGCGCACCCAACCCTTGGACATCGGCCTCCCTCACACCCCAAAACCGGCTGTGGCGGTGCACATACTCACACAACACCACGCGCCGCGCCGGGACGGCCCCGCAGAGCGGCCAGGGTGATGCGGGGCGCATGCAGCTGGAGACGGCGCTGGACGTGCTGCACCGCTCTGCCCCGGTGGGGGCGGAGGCGGCCGCGGCTGAGTACCACTTCAAGCTGGGCAGGTGGGGGTGTGAGCCTTAAGGGCATGCTGTGTTTGTGTGTGGGGAAGCGGGGTCAGGGGGCCCGTACAGTTTCGTGTGTGTGATTTTGTGTAATTTTGTGGGCACATATGTGTTTGTGTGTGTATGTAAGTGTGTGTGTGTGCGCGCGCGGGCCAGTGCGCGAAAGCCGTGGCGTATGTTGTGTGTGTGTCTGGCGCGTTGGCTCGTGCATGGAAGTGTGGGGTGCGTCGTGCGAGGTGGTGTGCAGCAGGGGATGTCGAGCGCCGGCGGCGCAAGGAGCAGCGCGCTGGTCGCATGGGCGTGCGCCAGGATTTATTGTGATTGTGATGCGCCAAGGTGTGCCCGCCATCAATGCACACACACACACACACACACACACACACACGCACGCACGCACGCACGCACGCACACACACACACACACACACACACACATTCACACACACACACACATTCACACACACACCCCTAAAACCCCACCCCCAGGATCTACTGGTCTCTTGGCGGCGAGCTGCGCCGCGACCGCGACTTCGCACACGCCCAGTTCCTGGAGGCAGCCGGCGAGGAGGACACGCCGTGGCAGGCCCCCGCGTTCGAGTGGCTCGGCCACTGGTACCGCTCCGTCGCCGGCGACGCGGCGCGTGCCCGCAAGTGCTACTCGCGCGCCCTGGCGCTCGACCCGAGCCTGGTGGGGCCGCCTGCACATTTTTCTTCCATTTTTGTTTTGGGAAATCCCGTGGTTTCATGGGCTTTAGCGGGGACGAGGGCGTCGGAGCACAACGTCTGATAGCCAAAAAGTGGGGGCCGCCGGCCGGCGGCGCACGTGTCAGTGCTGCTGCGGGGTGCGGCGCTTGCAGCCGAGGCTGGCCGTCATCCTTCCGCCCTGCCCAAGCTCCGCCGCGTCGAATGGCGATTGTTTAATGCGTATTCGGGAACCTCTGAGACACACACGCACCCTCACTCACACACACGCGCGTGCGCCCGGCACATACCACCAACTGGTATGTCGCACACCCAGGCCGGCGCCGGCGACGCGCTGTGCGCGCTGTTGCTAGGAGAGCCTCTGCCCGACGACGACACGCAGGGGCAGGACGACGGCCAGCCGCCGCAGCAGCCATCGCGGGCAGCTTCCGAGCAGCTTCCTGCCTCCGCGTTCGCGCTGACGGCGGCGCTGCCACCGCCACCAGCCAAGGCGGGGGACGCTGAGCTGGCACGTGCGGTGTGCGAGGAGGCGCTGGCGGCGCAGCCCCAGGGGGCGCTGTGGGCGCGCGCGCGGCTGGCGCGGCTGCAGCTGGACGCTCGCGAGTGCGCGGCGGCGGCGGCGTCGTACCAGGCCGCGATCCGCGCGGCGCCGGCGGACGCGGCGCTGTGGGAGGGGCTGGGGGCGGCGTACCAGGTGGGCTGGGGGGTCGCAGGGCGCCGGGCGCGCCCGCCGCGGCCGCACTGGGTGCGCCCGGCTGCCGCCAGGGGATGGCCCCCCGTGCGCGGCGCGCGGTGCTGGGGTTGATCGTATCTGCCCGCTTGCGAGGCTTTGACAACACACATCGCCCAGCCCTCCGCATTCTCCAATCTGCGCGGGCGCCACCTCATTCCGTGTCTGGCCCGCTTCCCCACCTCTCCCCGCAACAACCCCGCCATCCTCGATCGTCGACCCTTAATAACCCTGAACTCTGAACCCTAAACCCTGGACCCCCACCCCAGGCCCTTGGCCGCCACAGCTCCGCCCTGAAGGCCTATGAGAGGGCCCTGGAGCTGGCCCCTGAGCGCCTGTTCAGCCTGGCGCAGGCGGGGGCGCTGCTGTACATGGCGGGACGCCACGCTGACTCAGCAGACAGGTGGGGAGGGGGGGGGTCGCGCGGCGCGTGCTGTGACTGGCGAGCGTTTGCTTGTTTTTGGGGGAGGGGGGGCCGGGTGCTTCTGTCGGCGTGTGTGGGAT